TCAGGCGAGGCGGAGCCCGCGGCCTCGGGGTCGGGCGAGGCAGAGTCCGCGGCCTTGGGGTTGGGTGAGACAGAGCCCGCGGGCTCGGGGTCGGACGAGATGGAGCCCCCGACCTAGAGGTCGGGCGAGGCAGGTCCCCCGACCCAGAGGTCGGGCGAGGCGGAGCCCGCGCACCTAGGGGTCGGTTGGAGCTGTAGTCGCGCTCTTGACTGCTCAAATGAATCAATGTTGATGACCATTAGCTCCTCCTCTTCAGGTACCCTAGTATTGGTCCCCGACACCAGCGCCAGCGGAGCCCAACCACGCCGATGGAGCTTGGCTAGAGCCACCATGGCCTGGCTCCAGCGGAGCTCATCTCACCAATGTTAGCGCTGCGAGACGGAGAAACGGCGGCGTCAAACTGGATTGACCCCACTCGCCTGATTAACCGCTACCAAAGTACATGGCAGAGAAAAGTCGTAGTCCTAGAGTTGATACAGTCCTTTGGGTGGGGATGGGGGGAGGGGCAGTAGCTTATGTCGGCCCGAGTCATAGTGGATTAGCGTATCTGTGTGATGTGTTGCGGTGTGTTGCTATGACCATGTTTGGTATGATTGTAAATAGTTTTGACTCTTTGCTACAGTGCATGGAACAGTAAAAGCCTACTAAACGGGGCCTACTGGCTCATGAAGTCATGCAAGAGAGACGCACCGCGTCTACAGTGATGGTATGTTAGGAAATCTCATGACCTACTATGGTTGAGTCGAGACTCAGTGATGGATAGGAAGGGCCCTAGTCTCATTCACGCTAAGATAGGAAACTAAACTGATCCTTTAGGGGTGTTTGGGGCGTGTTTGATTTCTGGCCAGGAGGCCTGGCCGTGCCCATGGGCTGCAGAAGCTCGTGTTTGATTTCCTTGGCCCACCATCGAGCTCGGCTAGCCAGATGCAAAACGTGTTCTCTCTCCTAGCTCTTTGAAAATGAAATCCAGTTTCGTTTCTTGGCGGCCCAGCTCGCTTCAGCGCTGAAGCACACGCTCGAGTCACCTCCCATCCCTTTCTGACTTCTCACTTCCTCGCTGCCGCCACCGCTGCAACCCCAGTCGCCATGGCAGGAGGCGAGCTCAGGGACCCTCTCCAGCTCCCAGTCCTGCCGCACCTTGACGTACCTCGCCCACCTACACGCGTACAGGAAGATGCCGACGAGCAGCGCGTGGAAGAACAGCCAAACTGCGGCAGCGATGGCAGCTTGGAGGGTGTCTAGCGGCGGGCTGCTTCGCCTTCCATGGCGAAGCTCTAGCCCAGGGCGTGGCCACAGAGAAGCTCCATGGCAAAGCTCAAGCCCAGAACGTGGCCGTCCATGGTGAAGATCCACCTCGACCTCTCCTGTCTTCTTTCTGCCCCACCCACTCCCGCTCTGCTCCCGTCGATCTACCATCCTCTGCCTGCCCCGCGCGGCACGTCTGCTCTAGGGATTTGATTGAGACGTATATCCACCAGAGATTCGGGAGAGGAAAGGAGGCGGTGGGGAGGGGCGGGGGCCGGCAAGCTGACGTGGAGGCCATGGTGTTGTCAAGGACCCGGGACGACAACGATGTCCATGAACCAGAGGCTGCCGCCGTTGGCTTCAGCCCTAGTCACGCCGTCAGCCGGTCCCTCCCTAGAAGCAGTGGTGGCGCCACCGGTGAAGCTGGCACCTGGTGCTTGGTAGGACGACAGTCTCCAGCGCCTGGTAGCGGCTTCATCCGCCCCGGCCACCTACTGGTAGCGCTGCCGGCGTACGTCTGGTCCCAGCTGGTGTCCCGCCGGCGCCACGAGGCCGAGGTGGGTGCGTCCGCGTTCGCCATGGTGCTCGCCCTACATGTGTTCGATCAAATGCCAAAAAGATGATGGGGGGGGGGCGGTTGTTGACGTTACCATGTTCTAGGTCTAGGGTCACCGTACTCTTCTGTACAGGCAAACAGACACGTTCTCATATGAGCTCGACTATGCAGGAACAAGCAATGAAACAGAGGCACTTGTGTACCATTTGGACAGACTCTGGCTGGCCATAGCCAGGGCGGCCAGGTGCATGAAATCAAACACGCTCTTGGTTTCCTGCTTGCAGCCTCGACTGGTCAGCCAGATGCAGGTGACGCTTGATTGGTTGGCTGGGTGGCGCCCCTCAGGCTGGCTCCAGATACGAAAATTTTTCGGGTTTCCTCGGAGCCTGATTGACGCGCGCGGTGCACGGACATGTGCCTAGAAGGTGTACTTGAGAGGCTTACATCGTTCTGACACCTATGCATCATGGAACCAAACTAACAGCCCTACTAGACCAAGCTCACGGTATACCATGAACCAAACAAGGCCTCCTCGCACGCGCCTAGCATGGCTGCTAGGAACCAAACGCGCCCTTAGCATATCATTCTACGTTTTATATCTTTTTTTTGTAAAGGGTAAAACCAAATTTCATTACCATATAGCAATGAAATTACATGAGTTTTAGTGTGTGTGTGTGTCTATATATATGTGTGTGTGTTATTCCATGCGTTGCATTTGGGGGCTTAATTTTTTGCTGCAACATTAGGGGGAGGGGCATAGGCCCCTGGCCAATGACGGATCTAGGCGATGCACGTGTGTCGCATGCAAGAAAACCCAACCCACACACAAGAAAATGGTGGTTTTTGCTGTGCTTCTCCTAGCTTACATCCACTCACACGATAGGTGGTTCCGGACAAAGCAATCCTCCGGGCGAAACAACGTGCCCACGCAGCGAGTCGCCTTACCAATCCCTTCTGCGCTTTCATAGCTTACATCCACCCACACGAAGGGTGGTGCCAGACACAGCAGTTCCCCGAACGTGGCAAGATAACCCAAAAACTGTACTGTTAGCACATCACTGTCACGGCGGTGAACCTGCGTTCGATCGTGTTATCCCATTCCACAACCAGCCGGCTTAAAACACACAGCGAACAATGCTCAGCGAACCTCCTAGAACCCATTTATTCCCAAAAATAGACACAATGACATGCATCGCGCCGGCGCAAAGGCACAACAGCTCAGGCAGAAACGTACACAAAGTGCAGGAAAAAGAAAACTGACACGATAGGTGCACAAGGTCAAAAGAAAGGGCTCAATCACCGTGGGGTCTAGGGGCTATGCTTGTCGGAGAAGCAGGACTTGACATGACGCCCATAGCCACAGTGATCGACTCGGTGCCCACGGCCACACGACGCGGCCGCCAATGAGGAGATCGCTATCATCATCGAAGTGCTCAGGTCCTCGCTTCGCATCCCAGCAGGTTCGCTGCTGGTCCGAGGGGGACAGGTTTTTGGTATAGGGGATATACCCAGGTGATCGGGTTATGTATTTGCATTGTGTGGATTTTTTTGCGAGATTGTGTGGATTGTTTTGTTTGCATTGTGTGGAGTACATCATTGTGTATTTTATGTGGATTGTTTTGTTTGCATTGTGTGGAGTACAACATTGTGTATTTAAATTTCAATGCAATCCAGGTGGGGGCGACACCTCCAGCTTCTCCTCCTCAAAGCAATCATGGCAAAAATTTAGGAGAGGCCCTAGGGCTCCATGGGATTGGGGGGCTTGAGCCCCCCCCAAAGATCTGTCTCTACCCCTGATCACCCCAAAACACACATGAAAACCGCTCTCACATGACAATAGTATGTATACTTACTCCCTTTATCATTTTAGGTCTATGCATGGGAATTTAACAACTAAAAAACGGTTTGGTGGATAGAAAATGAAATGATAGAAATAGGGATATAGATATATTGAGAAAAGATAAAAGGTGCACCGAAAGGTGAGAATGACAAATAATTTAAAACAACTATAGAAGGCTAGAATTACTATTTATTATGGGTAGTAGGTGCTACCGAAGAGAATCCAAGAGCAATATGACCGTAGAGCTAAAAAAAGAGCGCCAAGACTAAAAAAATTAACTTAAGATAACTCTACAAATTTAATGGATAGAGGAAGTAAGAATCATATGAATAAAATAGAAATGAAGGGAGAAAACAGAGAAATACAAAATACGGGAAAGTTACAGAAAGTGGTTTGAAATATAGAGATAGAAAGTAAAAAAAAAAGCGGTTAAAAACACCAGTATCAAATAAAAATAATTTTAACCCTTTCACTACTCACCCGTTTGTTCTGATCACCCTCTCTGCCGTTCTTCCAGAACTCCATCGCGTCACGCTCTCTCCCTCCGCCGTTTTTTCGAGGGGCTCCATCGTGGTCAATCCACCGGTGGTTCCTGTGGGTGGTGGTGCGAGCCCCTGATCAGGCTGTGGGCACCGCAGGGGGAAGTGCTCCATGCCTCCATCACAATTCACAAGGCCATGTGTGTGTTCATGACGCACTGCGGGTGAAACTCGGTCCAGGAGACGATCGCGGCGGATGCACCTGCTTCATGCGTTGGTGAATCGATTGGAATGCCACCGCACAGTCGACAGACAAAGAACCGCACAGTTGACAGAAAAATAGCATGCTTTTGCTTGTATGATGTGGTAGATTGTTCAAGCTATGTAAATATGTAATGTAGTGGCAGTATGCCTCTTCGTATTGCTTTCACCATCGAGTCGCAAGGGGCCAAATGGCAGAGCAAGAAACTAGCCTCACATGAGAACAATACGATCTTGTCTGCTACTGAATACTGATGGTACCGCACATACACATAACCAGGCAATCCCTTAAACGAACGGCAATACAACCATTCCATCAGCTCTCGCCTCTCGGTAGTGTAAAAAAAAAGCCATAACCATATGTACAACGATGTTTAACATAATGACTCCCGGATCAAAGACGAACAACACAACAATTAAAGATTATCCACAGGTCACAGGCCTAAAATCAAAGGCCATATAGGCCGATAACCGCACTAAATCAAGCAACCTAATCAGGCAAACTACCCTCTAACGAAGTCTGACCATATCATACACATCTTCAGGCTTCATGGTAATCAACAAGTCAGCTTGCGCTCCCACCTGAAAGATGAGCCAACACGAACTGCATCTTCAGAGACTATGTGGACATTGTTTCTGTCTGGGCAGCTGTCGATAATCTTCCATTACTCTCAGGTACAGGTGAGCCATGAACCTGAGCATCCTTCACTCCAGAATGATTGCCTGCAGCATCTAGCTCACAATCTGAACTGAGCTCTTCAGACTGGCTACATGGAGATGCGTATATCAGGTTCAGCATGGCGTCACCGCAGCCACCCAGCTCAATCGAAGGACAAGTAATGCTGCCATCCTCATGAACAGACTCTTGTTGAAGCAGCCGGTTCTTGAATTTATCTTCGGGTGTGCTGTCCGACATGTTTCCTTCACGTATCTTCTGACAGCAACTTAGGCACAGCTTGAAAGGGCATGTTGGGCAGCATCTCAAGAATTGGCTCACAGAGAACTTACAGTTATTACTGCTTTCAGAAAACATTCAACAAGATCTCTGGTTAAATGAGAAATTGCAACAGAAAATAGCAGTTGACAAATACATCAAAAGGCAGCATAACCACTACCAAAATGCATATGGCCCTGTTCGCTTCTCTTATAATCCGTCTTTTTCAGCTTGTTTTTTCAGCCGGAACAGTATTTTCTCTCACAATAAATCAGCCGGAACAGTGTTTTGGCTTGTTTTTTCAGCGAAGCGAACGGGGCCATTAGAATAGCTAAGAAAAAAGCTAAACCGTAAAATGAAAAAAGAAAACTGAACTCTCTCTAGGATGATCAATGTAGATGCTTCAATGCAAAAGAATCATAAGGGTACCATAATCCTTTTAGCACACCTATTGTTAGGTAACAGGCAAGGTAATAGCGTCGACTTGTTTATACGACATAAATATTTGAACATGTGAAAATAACTGACAAAATTGGAACGGTATTGGTACTAAACTAGTGACAAGACAACCATTAATATGCAGATTAACGTTTGCCTGACCAAAGAAATATCTAACTGTATGTGCATTTACAGGATTGATTTATTTTATGCTCACCACAAGTATAAGAGTAAACACCCACAGTCCTTAAATTTTTTTACAGGTTTTCATCTAGGTTCAGTCTCAGTGAGGATCCGGGTAATAATACATTTAAATTGGTTGCTCTAGAGTGAACCACTTAAAAAGAGGACCTCATTTTTAAGAGTTTATGGACCTTAGGCGAGAATCCAAAAAAAAAAAAAACTTTAAAGTGAGCCACTCAAAAGCAAGGACCCAGTTACACTTTATTCTGTCTCAAATAAGTGAAGGATGAAAACTTATTGAACTGAGAGTTACTAGCTTATATGTAGCTGATGACCACATAGTAGCTGATGGCGACATAAGAGATTAGAGCTTACCAGTAGAGTGACTCATTCTGACCATTTTCAGCAACCTGGACGCGGACATTAGATATTTTTGTTCCTAATTAAGAGTAGACAATTAGATTACAAAAGAACCACATAGCTTCAGATTTTTAAAAAGTACAAACAAACCTTGTATTTTAGCTTCTAATTCCAACTCATCAAGCTGCTCCTGGTCAAGTTTTACAGGTAAAAGCTTGTAAAATTGATGGTTGGAAATTTTTATGCTGAGTATCTTCCTTTCACCACTTGGCGGTTCCTGGAGATCCAAGTCATAAAGCCAAAAAAATAAATACAACAATAAAATACCATTTCAATTGCTTTCCGCTGAGTAGAAGAAAGATCACCTTATGCGTAGCACCCTTGGTATGACCAAGGCTGCATTGTTTACAATTGCAGAGACCACGGCAAGCTGGACAACGAGCCTTTATATCCTTCCTGGACAACTTAGAATACCTGCAGGGTGCAGTGTACTAACAGTCAGGGCCAAGATTTACTAGAACCAAAGCACACATAGGCATATCAAGGATTTGAGATCTAATTAACAATCTCCTGACATAAAATCAGATAATCCATGTCAAACCCAAAATGAACTACTGAATCATTTGTTCCAAAGCTCCAAATAAATCAAATAATGCATCTCAAATTTAATGCGTTGGTACTTATGTAATTTCCATAGGTTATCTCAAATCTAAGTTCAGTGATTATTCATCAGTTTGCACTTCTCAACTAAGAATGTTCAGCAATCAAGTACCATTGTTATTGCGATTAATGATATCTCCTAATATTTGATTAACTCACTTTATTGTAATGCAACTCGACACTTCTAACTCTGACACAAGCATCCACCACAATTAGCTAAGTTACAGCAGACAAGTTATTGTAGGTATTCCTTGGAAAAATACATAAAATCAGTATGAATGCATTCATGTATGAACAGTCAAGAACAAAGATGACAAATCAGTTCACATAAATGCAATGTACAGAAGATAAAGTTGTCATTTCAATAACTAACTTCAATAATGTTTTCTAAACACTCCAAGCTCCCTAAGGGCATGTTGGACAGGAGGGATATTAATTCATAGGATTTAGTTCCTAGTGCGGTCTCCTGCAAAACTTTTCCTAACTGAGTAGCAACAGAACAGACACATACATGTTCACGAACTAATTTAAATAAGGAGGAGGTGTGATCTTAAAATACACTAGGTCCTTCCAATCTAGAGTTACAGGTTTGTTAAACTAGTATTAAAACCTAACATGGTAATATCAAACAGCCATCTGTAGTCTATCTGTTTATGCACATGAGCAGCCATAGTATGGGAACATAAAAATAAACAAGTTACAACCTTCAATATGTAGAGGGTCCATACTTCTTTAGTTGAGGCGTGTTTGCCACTTCAGTGTCATAATTTAGAGTAAAACTCTGTTTAAATTTTTAGGAAATTGAATTGTTAGCACCGGTTATTGGGGGAGCGCCAATAACATTATCAGCAATATCAGGGACACTGCTGCAGCAGACTACCAATAAGTCAGCACCCTGACATATTAAGGCCACCTATCACGGATGAACCGATCAATTCATTTTTTATTTTCCCCTTTTTTCCTCCTCGCCCTCACCCCCACCCCCACAGCTCCCATTCCTGTTCTCTCCCTTCTCTCATTCCCAGCTGAGCTGGCTCATTTCTGCCACCAACTCTGCCAAGGAACCCCCTCAATGCCCGCAGCTGTGGCATGGCCTTTTTTCTGTTAGATGAAGAACGGGGCGACCACCTCGAGGGTGGGGTGACCACCCTTGACACCAGCAAAGGAATGGGCATGTTTCCCATGCACCCTAGGTCAGCCAGGCCGCACATCACCAAAGGTGGTTACTTCACCCACGAAACAGCACAGGTATTGGGGGCCTGGGACAGCTGGACATGTTCCTAGGGGTATCAAATTGAGGAAACCCTTCTATATGATCCCCCCACCCCCCGCATTTATGTTGACATGGCACCACATTTGCTTCATTCAGAATGGTGCAAGGAAGTAATTTATGCGAACTCTTCAAGTATAAATCTAAGTTAAATCCCCTTAGCAGTATCCCCAATCACATCAAATAGAGATATTTAAGCACTAGAAAAAGAATAGCTGAAATTGATTATAACTAATATACACAACGGCAAGTTCGAAGTTATATGCAAAATAATTTAACATGCATGGAAAACACAGGATAAGCACAGCTACATGGAAACAATAGTTCATAAACTAAGCAAATCTGTCTCCAATCTCTACTTCCTCCTCTGTAATCATTAACAAAATTTAACAGAGTACAGACCTAGAGTTCGTTATCCACAACTACACAGGAAAGTAATTTGATGACATCAATAAAAGGCATAAGCCCCCCAGGTGCACCTCTTCAACCACTATAACAAGCTAAATAGCGAGCTAATCTCTTATATAATTACTAAATTGCAATCTACCAAGTTCTCATTACCCCATAGTTAAAACTTTAAAAGTTTGAACTTTGTGTGTAATTTAATCATACGTTCCTGATGCACTGATTAAGCATGCAAATAAAGCAATGGCAAGCAAATCAAAGACTAACCATTTATTAATGCAGCTGTTACAGAAATTCTTATCACAGTTCTTGCAATTGGCAACACGCGCTCCCTTCTTTATCCCGCAGCAGTGACATGTTCTTGCTGCTGCTTTTGTCATACTCATAGCACGAGGAACAACCTAATCCCAAACAAACATCAGTAATAAGCAAAGACCCAACAGAAAGCTAAATAATGAAGATCAAACTGTCAGTCATGAACAATTGAAGATTAGCTGGGTATAACCTTCACAGGACCAACAGGCAATGGCTCAGCATTCTTGGAACGATAGCACCGCTGTATAGGTGCAGGAATTTCTACACCAACCTTTGTAGTAACAGGACTTGACAGTGCTGCAGGTCCACTGCTACCTGGCGAGATCGTCATCAGTCCGTTCGGGAGATCCCTGGTCTGGCGGTCAGTCGTGGCTGCCTGAGGGGACATCGGCGGATTGATGCTCCTCCTGCCCTTCCTCTTGTTCTTCTGCCTCTGAAGAGCAACAGCTAGGACCTCCCCATCCGCTGGTAGCTTCTTGCCCTTGTTAGCCCTCGCGTAGTGGTACTCGCAGAAGCTAACAGTTGGGAGCGCACGGCCCGAGCAGCGCCACTTCTTCCCATCGCTGCGACGGCAGCGGAGGTGGTCCGGAAGTGGCGGCGGAGAGTCACCACGCTCCCCTGACTTCCGACGGCGCCGGCGGCGCGACGGCGCAGGGGTCTCCTCTGCTTCATCATCGGGAGTGGCCGCTCGCTTACGGCGGCGAGTACGGGAAGGAGGGGATGGAGGGGATTCCGCAGCATCACCTTCGGTGTCGGAGTCCCCACCGTCCTCTTCGTTCTCGCCGCCCGTCTCAGCGGCTTCCTCTTCACTCTCGCCGTCGGTCTCGGCGGCGGCTCCCTCCTCATCCTCGCCGTCGGACTCTTCCGCTTTGGCCTTCGGATCAGCACCCTTTGCATCTGCTTCGCGGTCGGAGCCAGTCTCACCGCCCTCTTCATCCTCGGCATTCGAGGCGTCAGGTTTCGACTCCGCCTCGGTGGCTGCGGCTTCAGCCTTGGCCTCGCCGGCTTTGGCTTCAGGCTCCGCATCCATCTCGTCCGCTCCGTTTTCGCCGGCCTCCTCGTTGGCCTCTGCATCCATGGACTCGGCGTCGCTCTCCGATTCGTCTTCCTTCGCGTCCTCGCTCTCGGCGGCGGACTCCTCCTCCGCCTTCGCGTCCCCCGCCTCGATCTCGGACTCGACGGCTTCCTCTAGCTCGGGCTCGGGCTCCGGCTCCGTGGCCTTGGCTCTCGGCTTTGCCCTACCCCTCCCCTTCCCTCTACCGCGGCGCGGCGGCATGGCGGCGGCTGGCTAGGGTTCCGGCGAGTCGGCGCGGGGTCGGGATTGCTAGATCGAAGTGGGGGGAAGTGGTGCGTGTACTGGCTGGCTCGGGGAGAGGGACACAGGCGCGGGGTGCGGATGGGGTTAAGAGGGCTGCGCGAGTGGGGCCCACTCTCTGACGACTCAGAGGCACCTCGTCGGATGCGAAAGCTTTAAACGTGGGGGCGGTTACTGGCGATTCGGAAGCAGTAGGGAGTTATTAAGCTCGTGGCGGGCTGCGCCGGCCGCGGGGAGCGGCCTGAGATTGGGTGGCTGAGATCGTACGATGTGTATTGATGGGAGATTTTTTCTTTTTGAGGAATCATTTATGGGAGATTTTTCGCATATATATATATATATATATAAATCATTTATGGGCCATTCAGTGGTGAGCTGCGCGTGATCTGGACCGTGTTAAATCTGAATCGAACAGTGGTAGACTAAGGCCCCTTTGAAAAACAGGGTTGCAAAAGCATAGAAATAGGAAAAATATAGAAATTTTATAGAATGCAATTGTAATACAAAGGATTAAAACCTATAGGAAAGTTGCTGAAGATAGATGTTTGATGCTCGCAGGAAAGTCATATGAATAGAAATAAGCATGTTCATTTTGTTGGTTTTACCAAATTTCAAACCAAACCAAAGTAAATTAATAGTGTTTTTTCTCTCATAAAAAACTAAAGAACAAACAAGTCATTTAAACCAAAGACCAAAGACCAACCAAATGAACAAACCCATTAGGAAGCGCATAATGTCCATTCATTAATTTAATTAATGGTGTGCCAGAGCTCGGACTTTATTATCCCTTTCCAAGCCAATTGTTTTAGCCCTGGTTCCCAAGCCTACCGGTGTGTACAGTCTACTAATCATGAGTCGTGCCTTGATCCTACGCAAGCGAGTGGGGGGCCTTGTTTGATTGGGGTTAGGAATTAATACTAGACACTATAATATTTTCGTTTGTATTTGATAATTATTGTTCAATCATGGTTTAACTAGGCTCAAAAGATTCGTCTCGTAATTTACAATCAAACTGTGTAATTAGTTTTTTTTATCTACATTTAATACTCCATGCATTGTCTAAAGATTTGATGTGATGGAGAGAGAGTGAAAAAACTTACAATCTAAACAAGGCCTGGGAAAAAAGAGGCCGGAGTGAATGTTTCAATTCCTACGAAATAGGTTCAAAAGCAGCAGCGAAGGAAACTTTCCTCCACCTTTCCTACGCATGAATCCTACAAATCAAAGGTGTCGGTATTTTTGGATCACCAACGAGTAAATTTGTATTTGCGTGTCTGATTCAGATGGTGTGCTCGGAGGACACAAGGGTTTATACTGATTCGGACGGAACGTCCCTACGTTCAATTTGCTGCTGCTCGTGTTACCAGCACTTGGTTTGCAGTAGGGGTTACAAACAGGTGAGAGAGGAAAAGGATCCTAAGTCTCTGAACGGGTGCTGAGAGCTCGATCGCTGCTCAGCCGTGTGCTTGTGTCATGCTCTTATGTTTTTATCTCTTGGTTCGGTCTCGTGCGGATCTGGATTCCCTCTCATGGGATGTCCTGCTTCCTCTTTTATAGGCGAAAGGAAAGCGCGGGTTACAACAGAGAAAAAGGAGAAGAACAAGAGGGAGCCGAAGGCTTCCAGGATCGTCGGGTCCTTCTACTCCTTTATGCGGGTCCCGCCGATCCTGTAGATATCGACAGGGATGGCTCCACGTCGTGACCCTGTTCGTCACTGGCGCCATGCGCATGCGTCATCTGCTGGTCATGGCATTCCGTTCCGTCTCAGCGGACGTCGTGGTAAATTGACGCGTCTGTCAGCGTTTGTACGAGGGTTAGACAGAACAGCACCGGCACACCCGACGCTGTTCTTGATGTGAATCCTCGGGTATGGCCCGTCATGACCGCGGGTTACATCGAGGCATGCCAGTCTCTTCCCTGGTGTCAGGGTTTTGACCCAGGCCCACACGCTTGGACCTGGAGTGGTTGGCGGCGGTATGAGTCCCCATCGGACAAGACGGAGCCCGCACCCGAGGGGTCGGGCGAGACGGAGCCCGCACCCGAGGGGTCAGGCGAGATGGAGCCCAAACCCAAGTGATCGGGCGAAACAGAGCCTGCGGCCTAGGGGTCAGGCGAGACAGTGACCGTGGCCTCGAGGTCGGGCAAGACGAAGCCCGTGGCCTAGGGCCGGGTGAGACGGAGCCCGCGGCCTTGAGGTCGGGCGAGACGAAGCCCGCGGCCTTGGGGTTGGACGAGGCGGAGCCCGCGGCCTTGGGATCGGGCGAGACTTTTTAATACGTCTTGCCCTATCCGGGAAAGTCAGCGTGGACACTAACTTCCTTGCTTTGGGTATGCCTAATATCGATACCCGACAGTAGCCCCCGAACCTACGGAGGAGTAGAATACTCCTTTGTAGGTTTTGCCGGATGGAAGGACTCTGAGGGCCTTGGTCTTCTTTTTGTAGCCCACGACGTGTCCTGGTAGGGCGGTGGTTCCCTTTTGTCATGATCGGTCTTCTTGGGGCATGTAATCGTAGGATCCGGGAGGTCGAGAAGATTTTTCTTGATTTCGGTCCCTAGGGTCTGATCGGTCCATCGTCGTATTGTACCGCGCACTCGGTCTCCTTGCGAGTCCAACTTTCCTCGAGCCCCCGCACGTAGCAGAGGTCCGGTCGAGGGTCGGCTCATCTTTATGATGGACGAAACATGGTGCTCGGTGAGCTGTTAACGGGCTAGTCTGAGTGGGGCTTTGGCTTCCTGTTCGTGGGGGTCCGGCATGGGTCAGCTGGTGATCGACTCCAGACTCTTGGTGGTCAGTCCATATAGTTTTTGGGTCCGTTTAGCCGGTCCTAAGGGCTCGTTGCCTTTCTTTGAGAAAAAACCATGGACTGGGAACCAACCAAGACTTGAACGTGGGCCGGGATGCCCGCGGCGCTAATGCGCCTGGGTACTGGCCACTAGTGGGCCCATCCCTTTCCACCCTTTGCTCTAATGGTGCCCTAGAGCGGCTGTGAACCCGTCGGTGGGACCAGCCTTCGAACTCCTGGTCCTAAATGGGCCGTAGGAGCATTTTTGCTCTGGATCCCTTCTTACCTGCGATGGTTCTTGGCCCATTTGAAAGGGTGAACCATCATCCGGCATGTTCTTTGAGGGCGTGGACAGAGATTACGTGCGCACGATCTTCGGAGGGAGGAGACATGACATGGCATAGTGGGCGCATGAATCTAGGCGGATGGTTCGCCTTCTCGCCCCGCTCCGCCTTATAAATAGCAGCCTCCAACTTCATGTTTCTGCACACCAAAACTATAGCCTTACCTTCTCTGTTTCTTTGCCGTCGCCGTTTGGATCTGCCATGCTTGCTAGTCCACCGCCGGAGCCCTAGATCTGTAGCCTCCGCTCCTCCGCTGTCGCCTTTGCTTCTCCATAGCCACCTCCATCCTCCATGGATTTGTGGCATCGCTTTGATGTTACGTATGCGTGCATGGAGGGCCTCATCAAGCATGGTCTTCTCCGTGGGAGGACCGATGTGGCGGAGTGGCTTGTGCCAGGACACAAGGAGGCGCCGGCGCCGGCCGATGGCTATGTCTTCTCATTCGCGCTCTTCCACGAGCGCGGACTGGCGGTTCCTCCTCACCCGTTCTTCCAGGGTCTGCTGCACCATTATCAGATCGAGCTACATCACTTGAACCTTAATGGGATCCAGCACATCATGGCCTTCATCGTGATGTGCGAGGGGTACCTGGGATCGAGCCCCACTTCGAGCTCTGAAGATATTTCTTCTCTATCTCCTTGATGAAGAAGAAGGAGAGAAGCCGGGAGACCCCGGTGCCGATGGGATGCGTGGGCATCCACCTTCGGGGGCAGCGGGCGGCTGAGTACATGCCCTGTCAGCTCTCTAGATCTAACAAGGGGTGGCACTTACATTGGTTCTACCTAAAGGATGACCCTGCCACACCCATGCATATCTTCTCTAGGCATTTCATCAAAGAGGTTCCATCGTCATGGCCATGGGGGCCACCCGTCAAGGAGAAGAAGAGGATGAGCGACCTCCTCGAAGCCATCGTGTTCCTGAAGACCCATGGTCTCCGCGGGGCCAGCATCATCAGGGGTATCACGCAAGCAGGGTGGCGCTCCTGATGGCGCACATCCTCCCACTGTACGGGATGACTCTCGGCGCGCAACTCATCAGGACGACGCTCGCCCAAGGGTTGCTCCACAACATCGAGGTCACGCAGCGCATCAAGGAGGCTGACACCATGTTCCTAATCCTAGGGCATCCCGTGATGTGGCCGGACGTGGGCTTCATTGAGCTACCAGTGGGGTTAGTCTTCCAAGACTCCGTCGCGCCGCTGCTGCCAGAGCATGCGCCCATGAGGGCGGCGAATCGTGCCATGGATGAACAATGAAAGAAGAAGAAGGATGACGAGGAGAAGAAATGGCGGTTGAAGCAGAGAGGGAAGAAGCGTCAAGGCTCGTTGGAAGAAGAGGAGGAGGAGGATGGCTCCATGTCACCCATCCTGTGGGATGATCTGGCCGTTGGGGACAAGGACCCACCATCACCACAAGCGGGGCCCTTCCCGTGGCATGTCACGAGGTAGGAGGGGGAGGATGTGCCCCAGAGCCGGTGGAGACGAACTGCCCCACCATGTCTGGGCCTTCGATAGAGGCCTTGGAACCGGCGGGGTCAGGCCACCTCACCTCGTCCAGGCCTTCGATGGCGGCCTCGAAACCAGCGGAAACAGGTCACCTCGCTCTATCTGAGCCCTCGGTGGCGCCTCTGGAGTCGGCGGGAGGTGGCCATTTTGATTCGTCCGAGCCCTCCGAGCCGAGGGAGGTCTCGAAGCGACAATATGCTGACGAGGAGCAGCCAAGGTTAGGCAAGCCAGCCCCAAAACATCCTTGTATGATGGCATCAAGGTGAGTCAAGAGTTTTTGTCATCCTTTTGTCCTAACAAATTTTTGTCATGAACTGATCGCCGTGTC